TACCCTGCACTAAAATAAAAGGGAGCAATGTTGGTCTTGAATGGGTTAACTCTATGTTTAAAGGTTGGTCAAAATGTAAAGAGATGTTCAGATGTAGCAGGCAGCATTGGAGTTCATTCCTCTATCCATCCATTTTAAATCTCCTTTTCTTGGTGAGGATTACAGTTAGGTTCATTATTAATTTAATAAAATAGACGTTGCCACTGTCAACCTCTGGAGATCAGAATGCAAGCTGCCCAAATATAATACATGTTGCACTTCTATTCACACAAAGACTGAACTCTCCAGGTGTATTACTCTTCTTGATTTGTTTTCATATTGTAGCTGGCTTGTTTCCTATTCTGAGGCTAAACAGACTAAAAGCAATGCAATTATGGGGTATACTTTTTGGATTTGGGGAGGGGGTAGTAGATAATTCCTTTTCCATCTTAAAACAAAGATGCTAGAGCATGAGAACCTCCTCCAGAGTCCTTAACCAAATAAATCAAAATAATTTGGAAACATAATCCACTCTTTGTTGACTCTATGCTTTAATCACCTGAGAAAAAAACATTGACTCTACCCTCTTAGTCTGTCTATGAACTGGTGGATGATTTAACACCTGGAGTACCTGAATAGCTGTTCTTAACCCCCATGCCAACGGATCTTCGTCTCACTTTGTCAAGGTGTATGGAAGCTCACGTACAATGGTTCCTCCAAAAACAAATGTTGTGCATGGGCACCACTCCCCAGTATATTCTCCAGGGTCTACATTAACCTGCTAATGGCAGCAGAAACAGGAAAATGATATCTGGAAGTTAGTACTCATGAACTGGCACAAATGAAGATATTTCAAGGAGGTAGTCAAGCACTTGAGATGAAGCAGAAATGTAACTGTACAATATTACACATTTAATGGCTCACATTGGATTAATAAGTCATGGTAAACCTCTGCAAATTTAACTTAAAACTTTGTGAATGTGTTACTTATAAATCAACCTCTGAGTTCATCATACACTTATTAGAGACGGATGTGACTGCACAGCAGAGAAGCTGTGAGGAACAAAAACATGACTGGTCACTTCTATTAATAGCAAAAGACCATTGTCAATTATTGATGACTGAGTAAATCACAGGCGTCGTTCATCAGACTCCTGTCCAAAACTAGTACAATGAATAGTTTTCATTTTCTGTTCCTGCAGTCTCAAAGTGACACATGAAATACAATTTACAGTTACAATGCAGTGAGGCTTTAATTGCACAAGTCCTTAATAATATAAGCAGACAGCAGAAACATTGTTTTCTGGTGAACTCTATTAATACATAAATAATTTGTATTTGTACAGAACATGGCACAAGTTATAAAATATGAATACATTACAGTATACTGTATACTTTACATTGGCCATGTTGAGATTTCTGGAAAATGCTACATTATTCTTTCTTGTAGTAATACAACATATTAGAATATATTTTGGAAGTTTGGCTCTGTCTTAATTTAAAAAAAAATATTTATCTATTTATATATATTTTAAATAAAATGAATCTATCTAAAAACCTACGGCTACTGCTTTATAATTTTTGGTTTGAAATCTTAGCTGATTAGCTTCATGGTATCATCCACATTTGACCGAGCTGTAACTGTGACAGCGATTAACAGAGAGTAAAGACCTTTATTTAATCTGCTTGCAATTTTCACAGCTACTGAGATGTGCTTAAATCTAAATGAAGGACAATCATCTTAAGAAACATATCAGCAAGCTTTCATCAGATCAGGGCGCTTAACAAACAATTCATTCTCAAATCGCTGGCTTCTGCTATTTATGAGCTAATTTACATTGAGTGACATTAGTCACTATTTCTTTGTTTCATACAGTATATGTTTTGAGCTCCATTTATTGCAACAACAATGCATTTGAAATAGGTGCAATATGTACAGTACAGACCTCTCATGCTTACAATGGATTTATACTTTTATTAAAATAATTCACTTAACACCTTTAAGTGGTGCCATACTGTATGGTGCAGACAGGCTGTAGGTTGCAATATTCTCTCTGGTGACATTCCCCTGACAATGTCTGGATGAACATGTACCAAGACACCTGGAAACACACACAAGAACAAATCCACTTTGCAGTTGGACCCCAAGGACAGCCAGTCTCTGGTTCACTGAACAGAGCAGTCATCCATGTGAGTTTTAAATCCAGCATATTTTAGCTTGAGTAAGTTTTGGTTCCAGTTTGACTCTTGGTAGCAGGGAAGTAAAATATTAAAACATATAATAATATAAAAAAACATGTAGAAAATGTCATCAGTTTCATAATGTCTACAGAAATGGCTTACCTAAGCTAGTCATTCATACTTGACCCCTTTTCCTCACTCAAGCTAGTCAGTAAAAAGGCTGACTTAATGGACAAGTTCATTGCCAGACATCCTTGGTACACCCAGTCAATTTGTTCCTGAGTCATTTAGATCCTTATGTTTACCACAGATGTTAAAGATTGGAAAACTCATTCACTCCTTCAGTGCGGGTTTCATAGTTCACTGCCCTATGACTTTCATCTCATTTAAATACTCAATCAAAAATTCAACTCCAATAGATATGTTCTAAGTCTGATTATTTTCTAAAGATGGTTTCATATTTTTTCTATCTGTTATCTACACCACAATCCTGAAGATCAGGGTCTGGAGCAAAAATCTGTCCTGTCCTGATGCAATTGGCATTTATGTATTTGCTTTTTTCCAATGTTGAATAAAACAGATAAACTGTGTTGTCTCTTAGAAATATTCAACACGAATGACTATATAGAGGACAGTACGATACAGGACTGCACAGAATTATTAAAAATATCACGTGAAAACATAGTTCATTTTTACTCACTAGGAAAAAGGCTCAGATCGATGTAACACCCTGGAGTTTTAGAGAAGCTCACCATTAAAATACTGACTGCTTGGTAATTAATGATCTAATGTTTGAAAGAGTTAGGTGTAAATGCAGTGTTCTGGCTTAATTCCATGCAGGATTTGAATGATCTACAACTGAATAATTCAATTGGTACAGTAGTTTCTCACTTCTTTATTTGACCTGCTGTGGAGTGGGGCTGCTGGCACATCATGGCCACCACACATCACCCAAGGTGGGCTGCACTTGGTGAAACTGGTGAAAGAAATGGGTCCTGTAACGGGAGCCGGTTCGTGCTCCAGTGAAGCGTAGTTCAGGACCCTAAGCAGAAGTACTGCAAGTGGAGAAGGACAACAGGGAAGAGACGTAAAGGATCGGGACGGGGTGACAGACAGGGGGGCGTGACGATGGTGATCCGGTGCTCAGGGGGTGTGGTGCAGGTAAACTGATCCAGACAGTTCAAGGGTGAAATCCGGGACGCAGTCCAGAGTCCAGGAACCAGCAGTTCCATCTGAGACAAACAAGGTTAAAATCCGGAACGGGATCTGGAACAGGAACAGGGAATAAAAACCAGGGTAACGAGGCCAGGTGCTCTCTGAGCCCCGGACTCAGATGGTCAGGATGCCGTGATGAAGCCTATGCTGTCGGGTCTCTCCTGGACCCGCTGGTAGGTGGGATTCCGGGTGTCCATCTCCCTTCTAGCTGTCAGAGAAAGTCAAAACCATGAAAATCAGGAATATGAAAATTAAGAGTTATCCGTGCAGAATGGGTCACCTGAGACCAGGAATCATTCATGTTGTTCTTCTTTCATGTCTTTCTATAATATATAGAATAGATAAATCTTATAATAATAATGCATAATAAATCTATAATACCTGTTATGGTATAATGACCAAAACCGAACACAATATTGAGAGTTCAGTGAGTTCTGTGAGTAAGTGAGTTCTTACCAGTGCATAGTAAACCTTACATATAACTGGATTTAATTTCCACATTTTCTGCTGCTGTACAGTACAGTATATACACAAGCTATGGTAATTACACAAGCATCATGTTTGCTTTTTTACTGTTTTTTTACTGTGTTTTAGTGTCTGTGTCTTGAGAAGGAACCAGAGCTGTCTACATACTGTAAGCCGGTCCAAATCACCTGTGTGAAATGTGTGTTGCTGCTACCAGTGTGGATCACTTAGGCACACAATAAGACGGATAGATTGCTTTGCTTGAAGATTTGACACATGGGCTTTTGTAATGCATTGCCTGTCCTACTGTAATGTATGTCAGCCTCTTGTGGCTAGTCTGTTAGATTTCTGTTTTTTTTTTTGTACTGTCGTCACTAAGCAATGACCTGGCTTTTAGGAAAAGATAGAAAATATCTTATAAAACAAAAAAGAGTTCCTGCAATTGCAAAATACAGGGAACCATTGCCTAACAGATGTCTCTTGTTGGTCAGGTGTTCGTTGTTGGGTAATTAGGCACTAATGAAAGAGCTGTGTAATTTAAGTCCATAATCTAAAGTCAAAATGGAAAACAAAGAAATTGGTCATGCCGTACAAAGCATTTTCTTATATAATAAATTATTTATAGCAATATTTTGACAGGGGAGAATAATGTACTGGGGAGATCTTAATTTTAATTCATAATCACCAACATCGTAATATATTAGCACTATATTTCGTATTAGTTACACAGTTTTGAAAACCTAACGTACTGTAAACATTCAGATGTATAAAGTAAATCGCATTTAACGAGTTTAATAGTTGTGTACTACTATTTGTTTGAAACTACAAAAGATTTTTGGTCAATATGGATGTTCTTACTTTCCCGTATGAAGCCACGGTGAATTTAAAAGGCGTTTTCAAAATGTTCCCACTCGTACACTTTGCATCGTGGTTCTCCGTGCTTTTACTATGATTTCACTGTTGTTTTTCTCTTTGATTATACAGTACTATAGTATGCCGCAGTAAACGTATTTAACCGTTGCTGTGTTTAATCGTTTCATAATAAAGGCATTTTTACTCCAGAAGAGGAGGGATTAGTGGCTGTTTTACCGGATTGGATTGCATACCTACACGATCACACTTAAATTCACAGCAGTGGGGTTGGAGATGCATACGCGGAGAGGTATCACGTGTCTTCACTCTCTCACTGTTTCCCTAGCGTTAGCAATAGTCTGCTCCAGAGTGGAGCTTGTATTGCAGCATCGTCTAGTTTGTCCTAGCTTCATCCACACCCTACAGTAGCTTTTATTACAGCCAACATCTGGGCAGAGGATGCAGGAACGATTTCAGTAATCATGCTCCAACAACGTCGCTCCGATTTGAAACGCTTCTTTGTCCAACAGAGATAAGATTTGAGTAGTCGTGGGTCTTTTGCCTGCCTGATTGGGTGAAATCTGTGAAAACGTTTTGGATTCATTCTGTACGAATGTTAAACGCTGTTACTTGTCTCCTGGGGATTTTTTTTTCAAGATGAGGTTTGTTGCTATAGAAATATCAAGGCTTTGCAGTGAGAGCAAATTAGTAATACACACAATAGGTAAGCACACGATAGCTTGTCTAACGTTTAGATAGGTACTGTATTATACAGTATGTATCAAAATATGTGATTTATTTAAACCTCGTTTTCTAGTGCATACACGACGGATAAAAATATCTCGCCATTCCGTACAGTACAGGCAGGTTTGAGTGAGCGGTGTATTTTGGAAAAAAAACTATTAAGTCTGCAGGATCCTCATGTTTCAGTGACTATCTGAAATCTAGCAATGTTTTCAATTCAACCAGACTGAGGAGCGCCTCCCTTCTTAGCGAGACCCGATCCTTAAATGACCTATAGCTAAAGGCAATGTGATCTATTGCCCAGATCATGGCATGTGGCTCATTCCAAATTTTAACAAGCGTGGCGCTGAGGATCACTAGAGAAAATGGGGATCAAGTCCAGGAATGTTGGTAATGCTTCGGTGGAACAGAGAGACAAAAAGGCCGGCTTGCCCGGAGACTTGGATCAAGGCACTTTGGGCTTGGGGGCTGGGGCTGATAAAGATGGAGCTCTTTTGCTGGTGGGTCCAAGCCGAGACGATTTCAAAAGGGGATCACAGGGAATTGGACTTCTAGCCAAAACTCCCCTGGGGTACACGAGACCGGTAAAGCGGAATAACATCAGGTACCGAAGAACTCAGAACTTGATATACGACGCACTCGAAAGACCCAGAGGATGGGCTCTGCTCTACCACGCGTTTGTGTAAGTGACATCTCACCTTTCATCCCAGCCCATCTCGCATGCAAGAAATTGGGCTCTTGCTTTTAGGATGTAAACTGAATTTCAATGGATGATGTGTATGCACAGTACTGTCCCTTAATTGCAATATATGTTTATACTGTTTCACTCCAAATCACGGAAGTGCTTAAGAGAATGTCCGTTTATTTCACTATTTTCTGTCATGTTTAAAGATTTACTTTGCAATTGTTTTTATTCTGAAACTCAGTAGAACTTAACTTTAAAGACACAACTCTATGCTGAAAACAGTACTGTCTACACATTTTTTAAATATAGAATCCTACAAAGGAAAAGAGATACACTTTCATTCTTTATACGTGGTATCTTTGAATTAACTGGAAACGGTTTGAGTAATTAGGTGATAAAGTTGATGGGAGGAAGGAAACTAAGAATAAATCTAAGTCCGAAATTGGTGATAAAGATGTTGTTTTTGACTTGTTCTTTAAATTGTTTAATCTCATAAGCTTCCCTGATATTGTTCTGTAGGATATTCGAACAGTTAATTGTATCTATTAACACACAATAGTAAAAATAAAGGTCTCTTAAAGGAACGCAAAACCTCATACTTTAGTTGTAATTATACATTAGTGTTTTTAGTATAGTACGTGCACTACATTTGGGTTACATTTTCCTTAAAAATGTTAAGATTTATTCAATTGTCAAGTCAGTGTTATAGGTTTTCCTATTTCTCTTTGGTCCTTAAAACTCAAAATGAATATTTTGATCCTACTTGTATACTAGTAGGACACTCAGTGGCTGGTTAAAACTATGACTTTATTTCAGAATACACATGAAAAATGTTTCAGATACTGTATGTTTGGAGGAGCAGTGTTAAAATATAGATGCACCAGAGAGGTACCTGTTCTTGGTAGATCCTCAGGAATCTTGGTTTTTATTTCCATCCCTTGTGGTTTCTTTGTTGTTAAGAGGAACCCTTAACAGATTCTTTATTTAGGCAGTACGCATTTTAAATATGCTGCAGCCACACCCTGATGCTTCAGGACATGTATTTTCCACTGGCAAAACAGAACAGAGAGTTGTTAGTTGTCCAAAGTTGGTGATGGACTTCATTACCTAAGAAGCTCGTCTTAGAAGCTGTAAGCTTACTTGATTACAGGGGTCTTTTTTTGTGTATGTATTTCAATAGAAATAATAAATACGATTAACATTAGAAGCGAAAGGTTTATCAAAGCCTGCAGTAGTGAATTACTGTATGTGTGGATAGTTAATGGGCTTAACATGTTCACTGTTATATTAAAATTAAAGTATGAGGGCCGCACAGTGGCACATTGGTTAGCATTGCTGCATTGTTATTCCTAGTGAACTGTGACTTTATTAAGAAAAATTAAATGTAATCTACAAAAGCACTAATAAGTTATTTGTTTGTTCTGATGCATGGGGAGAGATAAGATACAGTAAGGATGAGACTTGGATTCACAGTCTGCTAGCTCATAATCCATATTTCAACCTAGTTACTTTCTTCTTAGTACATGTGTATTGACAGAAAAAAGGCAAACATGTAATTTGATTTTCTACTTTAACAGTACAACGTATGCAATGTCAGCAGCCTTTGAAACCTCCTATGGATCAGATGGAGAGGTACTGTTGTTTTTGCATGATAAAAAGTTATTATGAAACTCAGGGGGAGTTTTTCATGCTGACAGTTAATTATGAATTAGACTTTCCTGAAAATGAAGCACATCAAGCAACAGGATTGTTCTGTAGATTTCTAAAAATAATATCACCTCAGGGGGTGAAAACTTTATCCTTGTCTTCAGTTTGATGGCATACCAACTAATCATCTGATATGTCCTCATCCATAATGCTGTGTACCACATATTGCTTTAGTCAATGTAGAGAGCAGCAGAAAGGTTTTATCAGAAGCTTGCTGTTAAATCAATCAGAAGATTTAGTTGCTGTCACAGAATCCTTGATCATGATTTTTTCATTTCATACTTTGTTTTGACAGGATTCTGGACCAGTCACAATGTTTCTCAAATTAGGATAGCATCTTGATTCTTCCAAGGGATGGAGATTATTTTTTCTCAACATGGTGCATTCTTTTTAGTTTAAATTCCAGGGTGAGGAGACAAATGATTTCTTAAGAGAATTCAAACCTTAAGTGATATTTCCAGTGAAAGCATATTAAAACTACACTTGAACAATTCCATAAATGTGGGAAATAGTACCCATTCCTTGAATATCAATTCAGTTTTATGTTTAGTTCTTTTAGTCACGTTTTGCATTTACAGGGCATGTACTGTATATTTGTTTTTCACACATGTACAGTATGTGTTTCTGTGTATCTGACAGATTTTTTTACAGTATATGGCAGGGATCATTGTGCTGTTTCTAGGCATTGGTCATTTGTGTCATGCTTTTGTATGGTGTTTGAAGTTGTCAGGGGCACATAGATTTGTTTGGGTAAGAAACTCCTACTGTGAACTGTCAGCAAGGGACAACCTGTCCAATTTCTTGCTAATTTTATTTATTTCCTTTTCCATAAATTATTACTCTAGTTTCTTGCATGGATACAAATGTGGAGTTGATTAGCGATGTTTCATTTACACTATTTGCATTTGTTACATTTGATACTGTACACTAGGCACCCCCATCCTAGTAATAAAGAACCAGTTTGTCTAGAGCTTTTCAGTCCAGATTGGGTCTTAGGGACTTAATTCAGATTATGTTAGCTTTACTGGGCCTTTTGAACAGCATCCCCCTGTCCTTCAGATACTGATGTTTTTCATGGAGCTTGGAAAACTTGCGGACATACCAGCCATCTGTGATCAGGATTGGGGACTTCAGTTGTATACCTTTTAGATTTTACATGCTTTTTGAAATAATTGATCAACCCTCATCTTTAGCATTAGCGTATCCGAGTTTACTTTAATCTGGATTGTTATATATAACCAATTTACCTGATGTACAGTAAATTATAACATATTTTGGACCTCAGTCAGGTGTCAAAAATTTAAATGTACTGCCTTTTATCTAGGTGACACTCATCTCCTTTGTGACTGTAAAGTTCGTTGTTTAGGACCCTATCTTGACAGTATAATCTGGCAGTGACTGGAGAAGGACAACAAGGAAAACACAGCTGGATCTGGACGGGAATACAGACAGGGGCAGTAATGGCAGTGATCTGGTGCTCAGGAGGCATGGCAAAGGCGTACGTGTCTGAAACAGTCCAAAGGGGAAATCAGGGCGCAGTCCAAAATCCAATAGCTGAGAGGTTCATCCGAGACAAAGACGAGGAACAGGGAACATGGAACCAGGAACGCAGAAGTTAAAATCATAACGGAGCCAGGTGCTCCGACCCCCGGACTCAGATGGTCAGGGTGCCGGGGTGAAGCAGATGCCGTCGGGTCTCTCTTGGACCCGCTGGTAGACGGGCTTCCGGGCGTCCATCTCCCAGTGCTGAGTGCAGAGCTTCAGAGGCACAGGGTTTAAATAATACATGGGGGAAAAAGGGGCAGGTGAATGTAATAATGAAACTAAAATACAAAAGGGTCAGAGCGCCCTCTAGAGGAGGGATGATGATCGTGACAGTGACAGCTGATGCATACGTGTAGAAAAAATAACATTATGTACAGTAGTTCTGGAACATATATTTTTGCAGTAAGACAACTAAAAAAGCTACAATAAATAAATGCAAAATAATTTTTGTAATAAGGTGATCATTATGTCTGTGCATATTTGTGGTTGAAAGGAAAGCTGCTTGAAGAATATTTCAAACTTTTTTTTTTATTGAGAGGTTATGTACTTTTCCTGACACGTTAAAGCTGAAACCAAATGTTAAACATGCATTTGGAGACTAATTGAACTGCACATCAGTGGTCCCATTAGATCAAGGGAATGATCAGTAGCAAAGAAGTACTTTTTATGTTAGCCTCACAGCTTTAAACTGCTAGTAAGCAGCTGTCTTCATCCAGGAATAATGTTGATCTGCATTTCCCTCATTGTATAAAAACTGTTTTTCCAGCACCTTAAGAGGGAGATTGACTGTGATAGCTGATAATAAAGCAACCTCAGGGTCACATAATCTCTATTTTATCCTGTCTGCCTCTGCGCATATTTAAGTGTTCAATGAAGGCAACAACCAGGTACTATGTCTATGGGTGTCTATATCTAGTGGCTAGTTTTACATACTGTACTTGTTTACGTCTGATTCCCCAGGTTTTGTTCTGAACTAATGGAACAGATAAGCAGGAACCATCTTTTATTCCTCTGTCTCACTTGATTTTTATCTGCCCCTTGCTTAACTGTATCATCGAAGTTGCACATTTTCTTAATTATCCGCTATTTTGCTTTGTAAACTGTTTTGTTAATTGTGTAGTGATTATGCACACTGGGGAAAAGAAAATGATGTCATGCCACTGTAGCTTACACTGTTCCAGGCCTTGCAGTAATCGGAGAAAACACCAGGGAAATGCTCTACTAAATGTGTAGGGGGGTATGTTTGAGAGGTTAATTTACATGTTTTCTTTGAATAATTGATGGCATTTAATTTTGCCTGTTGGATATAGGGGTGGTACTGCACTCTTCAGGTCTACCCTTTTTGGAGAATTGAGTGCAGGTGGAGAAAATTCTTAGCCATTTTCCACCTGTGTGCTTCAGGACACACATTAGGAACATCTGCTCTCCATGGTGCTGAAATTGTGCTTCCTGAGGGGCAGAGCCTGATACAGCTGAAGTAAACCTCTTTTTCTCATTTGATACAACAATAATACACAGAAAACAACCACACTGTATTGTTTTACAAAGTAAACACTGCATTATTCTTTAGCAAAGGGAAAATGCTTGAGTCCCTGATTTTCCTGTGTGCCCACTCCACTGTTTAAAAAATCATCTATATCAGCAATGTTCTGATACCCTCCCACAGGGAAAATTGGGCACTATTGAAAATTTAATCATCAATTTTTCATCCCTTCACATTCAGTTTTGTAGATTATTCTTTGTAT